GTTCGTCGCCAGCAGGGCATACGTACTCCCAGCTATTTGCTGAGGAGGAGATCAAGAAGAAAGTTGTTAAGACCGCCAAGGAGTTGGTACCTAAACAGTACCATGAGTTCCTGAATGTCTTCTCAAAGGAAGCATCAGAACGGCTACCCGAAAGGAAGCCTTATGATCATGCAATCGAACTCGTGCCCGGCTACTCGACATTCCATTCGAAGGTCTATCCCCTGTCGAACAACGAGCAAGAGGAGCTTGACAAGTTCCTAAAGGAGCAACTGGCTAAAGGGTACATACGGGAATCGAAGTCGCCCATCTCGTCCCCCTTTTTCTTCATCAAAAAGAAGGAAGGGACACTTCGACCTGTACAGGACTACCACCGGTTGAACGCGATCACCGTCAAAAATCGCTACCCCTTGCCGCTGATCGCCGAGATGGTGGATAAGCTCTGCGGTGCCACGCTCTTCACAAAGTTCGATGTCCGATGGGGATACAACAACGTCCGGATCAAAGCCGGTGACGAGTGGAAGGCGGCCTTTGTGACCAATTGAGGGTTGTACGAGCCCTTGGTAATGTTCTTCGGTCTCACCAACTCCCCCGCGACCTTTCAGGCAATGATGAATGATATCTTCCACGATCTCATCATTGGCGGCAAGATCCTCGTGTACCTAGATGACATCCTCATCTTCTCCACCAATTAGGAGGAGCATGACAGGGTCACGCGTGAGGTTCTCCGTCGCCTTCAGGATAACAATCTATTCCTGAAGCCTGAGAAGTGCGAGTGGAACGTTCCCAAAGTCGACTACGTTGGCTATGTGTTCGGTGGCGATGAGGTAGCAATGAATCCCGCAAAGCTGAAAGGAATTAATGAGTGGCCGGTACCCTGGAACAAAAAGGATGTTCAGAAGTTCCAGGGGTTCTCCAACTTCTACCGCCGCTTCATCAAAGATTTCGCTAAGATCTCGCGACCACTCAACCGGCTCACTAGGAACGATCCATGGCATTGGGGTGAAGAGGAGCAGCACACCTTCGATGAGCTCAAACGGCTCTTCGCCACAACCCCGGTCCTAGCGCTGTACGATCCTAATCGAGAGACGCGCATTGTCGCGACTTGAGGTCAAGCGACAGGGGAAAACCTAAAAGCTGGGGGCGTCCGACTAGATCTCACCGAAGCAATGGTGAGCAACGCTCAAACCTAAGGCTAGGGACAAGTAAGTTAGCATAGGAAAGTAAGTATGTACAGGGGCTTACTGACCTAGGGACAAGAGGTCGAAACTGAGGTCCCTAGGGCAGCAGAGGCAGGTTTATATACAGGGGAAGTTTAGGGGAGGCTGTGCGCACTGGTCCATGCACAGCTGGTCCATGCGCAGCATGCTGACGTGGCCCCGGGGGCCGGTGAGTCAGAGAGGCTGTGTCAGCGGAGCCCGAGCTGTGCCACGCACTGCCGCCCATCTAATCTAATCGTACAGTAGATAGCGACATGTCCATATCAGGCATGTAGTACAGAGGTCGCGGGTTCGAGCCCGCGAAGAGGAAAAAATTAAAAAACGGCTAGATGCCGTACCAACTCGTGACACGCATTGAGGTTGACGTCTCGGGCTATGCCACTGGCGGCGTATTGATGCAGAAGCAGGATGACGGCAAGTGGCATCCAATCGCATTCCGATCTCATGCTATGGACCCTGCCCAGCGTAACTACGAGATCTACGATAAGGAGATGCTCGCGATCATCGAAGCGCTGGATGATTGGTGCCATTATCTCGAGGGACTACCCAATCAGTTCGAGATTGTAACTGATCATAAGAATCTCGAGTATTGGTGCACGTCACAGCACCTCACGCGCCGACAGGTGGGGACAGCCGCTGATGAATACACGGAGACTGAAGTATCTCCCTATGACGGAGATCAAAGTGTCTCCGGCATGGGGAGATATCTCCGGCGTGTGGAGATACCTCCATCAATTTTCCACCGCGGGGCGCTTGCTTCAAATTATTTGTGTCCCCTTTGGGCGATCACGTGACTGGATCACCATCGCCCAATCTCTTCATCGGCTTTCGGTAAAGTCTGGTCCTTTCTCGTTATCTAATCTGAGTTTCTGCCAAATCAGGCTAACTCAGATTAGGGTTAGAAACTCGCTTTTTACATACTTTCCCGCACCCTCCTGCCTTTTCCGGCGCTGGCCATGATAAATATATTTCCATTAGAGGCCGAAAACTGGCCATAATGAAACTCCCCGATACTATACGAGACAAAATCTTGGTCACCACCCAAAGCGGCAAATGCACGTGACTTGGGTATTTCTTTTGCACTGCACGTGATAGAATTTCCGTTCAGGGAGCTAAGCGCCCCCTCAGAGAAATATCTCTTAGACGCCGGAGATATCTCCCCATGCCGGAGACACTTTGATCTCCGTCATAGGGAGATACTTCAGTCTCCATGTATTCATCAGCGGCTGTCCCGACAGGTGCGGTGGTCACTGTTCCTGGCACATTTCGATTTCCGCATCACGCACAAAGCCGGAACATCGAATGGAAAGGCTGATGCCCTGTCACACCGATCAGACCATCAGATCGGCGATGAGGATGATAACACCGATCAGGTGGTTCTCAAGCCAGAGCGCTTCCGCATTGCCTCCTCTAGGCGTGGCCATGCCTCGGTGACAGCCGATCAGTCACTTCTGAAACGCATCAGGGAGTGTTCGGAGAAGGATCGTGTAGTGGCCGAGGCACTTGAAAAGGTGCAGGACCTCGGGCCGCCCTGGCTGCAAAGGGGCTTTGAGGAGTGGAATGCCGAACAAGGGCTTCTGCTGTTCCACGGGTGCATATACGTCCCAAAGAACGCGGAGCTCCGGCGGGATATTGTCAAGATCCACCACGACTCGCCCATCGCCGGACATGGTGGTCGTGCCAAAACCCTTGAGCTCGTGTCACGGAACTACTGGTGGCCTGGAATGTCCAAATTTGTCAATGAGTACGTAAGCACCTGTGACATGTGCAACCGTACCAAGACATTCCCAGCCAAGCCCCAGGGTCCGCTGAAGCCGAACAAGATCCCCGAGTGCCCGTGGCAGGTCATCACGACCGATGATAG